GAAAAATCCCTGTCCGCCTTCGAAAACAATTACCCAAAATAAAGTATTAATGTTCAAATAATCACCTACTGATTATAAACTAACGCTAATTCATTTTCTTTTGTTTTTTTTTTCTGGAATTCTGTTGGTCGATAAAAGCTCCCAGTTCAGGATCCAAGAATTTCTCCCTTAAAAGCTCAGTAATCTGGAGGTCATAATGTGAATGCTAACGAATATAGGAACAGTTGCTTCTCAGGAATTTAAGCATTGAAATGTTTAAATGATTTAAGATAGTGCGGAGATGCATAGAGTGATTGCATTAACGCACACGCGCATATTTGAACACTTCTCAATTAAGAAGTCGTGATGAATCCAATAAATTTCCAAAGCTAGGTCTTTGGAAGTGCATGAATTGTGTTGTACGACACACCGGTATTTCCGGTATTCTGTTATATAACAATTCTTTTAATGTGTCGCGAGAGATTGCATGCTTTATTTAGTAGTTTAAGCTATCTTAATGGAACACCATTCTTGGAATAAGAGGAAATTATAAATAATATTAATTTTTGGTTCCTTTCTCAAACAAAATATACAGTAACTTTTGAGTTAAAATATGAGCCAAAAAAATAATATCAGCTTCGTCTTTATCGATTCAAACAATCCGACTTCGCCAAGCCAAATGATCAACGACACCAAACCATTCTTTAAACCTCCTTTTCCACCATCCAATAATCCACGTAATTTGATTACATCTTCTGAAGGTCGTGCTCCAACGAGAGCGCCCAATGCGTTTATTATCTATCGTAAGTTATTTATCAAGAATGCCAAAAATGAAGGGTATTCCTTTCCGATGACCGTGATATCGACCATGGCATCAAAATATTGGGAGCAGGAACCGGAGGCGGTTAAAATAGAGTATAGGAGAATTGCTAAAGAAGCATTCGATTATCATAATGAGATCTATCCTAAAAAGCGATACCAAGGGAAAAGGGAAAAGTGGAATATCGTTTCTTTCAATAAGCTTCCAAAAAAGCCCTCCCGGAAAGGTAGGTCCTAATGTGCCGTCCGTCGATTACATGTTTCGCGCAATCATTAATTATTGTAAGTCTTTTAAGATCGTTCAATTGAGAAGAGTTAGAAGTTTTTCGGGAACGAGCAGGCCAACAATAATAAGTATGCTCATATTAATATAAACAAAATGGAGTTTAAAAAATTAAGAATTTGATGTAATTCGTCTATGATTATTTTGATAGTAATATCTAATTGCGTTTTATATGATATACGGAAAACGTATAATTATTAATCCAAAAAATGTAAATATTCACTCTTTATCGATTGTTCCAACTTCTGTAATAGACCGATGGGAGTATACAACATATATTTAAAGAGGGGTAGTGGTATATTATTCATAGAAAGCAAATTACAAAGGAAAAAATAAAATGTTAATCACGTGGCCAAATTTTTATTCTATTCTATCATCTCGTTTAATTTTCTTCTACAGTATTTATAAAAAAATTTTTTTAAAAAAGAATTCATTATAAAAGTATATAAAATTTTTTTACTTTTTAAACAAATATTTATGAAGACTTTTTATAATAGAAAGACTTATTTTTTTTCTTTTACTAATTATATATATTCTTTTGTATTTTTATGATTTTTGAAAAAAATTTTATTTATTTTTATTTAATTCTGAATTTTTGAATAGTACAACTCTTATCAAAAATAATTGATTAATATAAAATATATTGATTTTTTAAAATATAAATAAACTCATATAGTTATACTTATTTATTTATAATATTACAAAAAACTTTTTCTGCTGATCCTCTGATTACATATAAAAAAGATATTTGCATGAAGTTATTATACTTATATGCTAATAAAGCCTTAACGTTCTCTTTAAATCAACTTGAGAAGAAGCTCAAAAGTCACCAATACACTTCCCCTCCCTCTTGTAAACATTCTTCTTCATACAAAAACATGACTTTCATTGATATAAACCATGAAATACCTTTTTTATCAATAGCAAGAAAGTTCTAAAAGAAAGAAAAACTGAAGTGCTTTGGTTATTCTACTTAGTAAAGAAACACCATAAATCTATGTTTATAATAAGAAACTTATTAGAACATATCTACCTACTCTCTTGTCATGATAATAACTCTAATAATATTTATTCTGGATTTTTTTTTGAAGAAAATTTACCTACCTTAATTTAATTTTAAATTTAATATAGTACAAAGTTTCTAGTACAGTAATTGAACAAAAGAATATATATCAGTATAAGAATATAAACAAGCTTCTATTGATTATTTCATATATCTTGAATACATTTCCTCAACTCTATAGAAATCTGGGATTTATCATAAGTCATTGAGTTTTGGTATGAATAAATATATGACATATTTCTATACAAGTTATTAACCATCTTCAGAAAAAGTTTATCTAACTATAGTAAAGGTTATAAGATAATATACCTAGTTTTTAGAAATGTAGTTATCTATCTCTAGTTATTAAATAGATTCATTTTGGCTTTATCAAATAAGTAAAGATTTGAAAATAGAACATTGATTCTTTTATTTATTTCTTGGCTCAGCTTTTAGAACACAGAGAATAAAATATATAAATAGTAATCTTTATTATATCTTTCTTAAATAATAAGGATCAAATAAAATGGTTTCTAAATTGATCTATCAATATTAATACATATGTTTTTATCCTTAGTTCCTTCTCATTTCTAAAATAAAATTGAATTCATCTCTCCTTCCCTTACATTTTTCAAGAAAGTGACTCAATAGTTTATCCTAAAGACTTTTCTTCTTTCTACTAAAAATTAGTATCTTACTTCTATGTATAATCTACATTAATATTTTGAGAGCTTCCATAAAAGAGTACAAATCAGTTATTAAAGACAATGGCTAAGATTTCTATATTTTCTAAGAACCTAGGTAAAGATATCTGAAACATAACTGATATTGCACAAAAATTATTAAGGAATCTAAAATATAATCAAATCACTTTGAATAAAATTTTTTTCTTCTTATATAAGTCATATAGCAAGGAATTGTACATAGGAATTAACTATTCTATCTACTTATTTATTTTCTAACCTTTCTTCTTCTTCTTTTTTTAAAAATTTTTTAGCACTAGCAGTTTTTCATTAGTTCTTACTTTAGAGATAGAAACATATCCAAAAATGATCAATATAGTTATATTGTTTAGCTTTATAGATTTAAAATTATATTTTTAATATGTATTATATTTATATTTAAAAACTATATCCAATAAAATAAAGGTTGAGCTGGTAGTTAAAAAAAAACCATTTTATTTAATATTATTAATAATTAGAAAAGAATATTTTTAAAAAAGTTTTTTTTAACTAAACAAATTTCTAAAAAAATATACTATAAAAAGTTTTATTATTCAAAAATAATTAAAAAATTTAAGCAATTTAAAATTAAAGAATATTATAATTAAACATATAAGTTTTGAAAAAAGTATATTAAATTAATTAAAAATTTTTTAAAAAAGTCTTAAATTAATTTTTTTCTTTAGTTTAATTAATAATTAATTATTTATTAATATTATCTATAATAATATTTTTTAAACTCTCTATTAGATTATTTACTATATATATGCTTTATTAAACAATTATAAACTATACATTATAATATAAATTGCTAAAGCTAAAAACTTTAGCTAGCTTACTTATCTTTATAATTACTACTCTAAGTACAACTTTGAAAATGATTTGTCATTCCATTAAGAATTCAGATAAAAACCCTTTTAACTCCTAATATTATCACTTGTAAATCACTACTGCAGATTACTTTTTTAAATTTTAATAAAACTCAAAGCTCAATCACTTTCTTCTAAACTTAATTCTCTTGGTAGAATGTCTTTCAAGTTTTGATTTTCTAGCTTTCCTTCCTCTAATAATAAAACTCTTCTTTTTAATAATACAGTTTTATGATCTTGAAAGTTAAGAGATCTTTTTATTTTATTATTTTTCTATATTTTTGTAGTTTTTTTTATTTTATTATCTTTTTACATTTTATATTTCAGATTTTTTTTTATAAAATTAATTGCACATTATATTATATATCTTCTTTATTTATTTTCTTGTTTCTTTTTCAACTGTTTTGTCATAATATTTT